TTTTTTAAGAAAGGATCAATGGAAGCAGACGATGGTTGACTTTGACCCTGATTTGTTGATGATTTTGAATCCACCATTATAATTTCTTCTTCCTCTTCTGTCAACATATCGTCACTATCCCATTGTTTGTTGTTACTATTTTTACTACTGCTGCTACTGCTACTGCTGCTACTGTTGTTACTATTATTATTATTATTGTTATTATTATTATTATTATTATTATTATTATTATTACTACTACTACTACTACTACTACTACTATTATTATTATTATTATTATTATTATTATTATTATTATTATTATTACTATTACTACTACTACTACTACTACTACTACTACTACTACTATCGTTATTATTATTGTTGTTGTCATTGTTCTCATTTTTAACGATTTTTGGCTGCGGCGTTTTTGTAGGCGGCGATTTAAGTTCTGGTTCCTGTTGTTGGTGTGTTTCTTTGTGATACAAAGATTCTTTAAGATGTGAAGAGGTCGAAGATGAAGCAACAGTAACAGCAGTAGCAGTATTATTAGTAGACGAAACTGGACGAATTGATTCCTTATGTTTCACTTCACTTGTCTCGTCTTCAGACCCGTCATCCATTGCCAAATCATCATCAGAATTTTCGATATTAGCAGTAGCTGCAGCATCGATTTTCGGGTCCACAATTTCAGCAGCAACGAGAATACTCTCAATACTATTGGTAGTGCTGATTTTGTCGTTACTTTCTTTACTATTTGGAGGTCGAGAAATCGGAAGATCAATATTTATCGACTTCTTTTTCTTACTATCATCAACAGTGTCATCAACTTTATTCGCCTTACTGCTCGTTTTATTACTGATTACGTTTTCATTAGTTACTGATATTGATCCTGAAATGCTAGTGGCTGACGTTGATGACGAAGACACAGAAGTTCTGGTAGTGACAGCAGTATTTTCAGTACTAGCACGCCTCGTATTCAACATCGATTGTAAAATCTCGAGGGTCGCTTGTTCTTTCTCAGAAATTGAAGGGGGAAATGAAATTGCCTGCGGTGACTCGACGAATTGGATTTTGTTGTCGACTTTCTCTTCTTGCTTGAAGTCATTCTTAGCAATTTCTGTGTTCACAGGTTTTATCTTGTTTCGTCGTCGTTTACTTTTATCCTCGACTGTAGAAGAAAAGGACGTGCAATTATGATCATTATTATTACTGCTGATTGGATGGTCCAGCTTGAGATTTTGAATCTTTAGATTTTGAATCACGTTAACGGCATCAATTTCAGGCTGAGAAAATCCAATAGCCTTATTACTACTACTGTTGTTATTATTATCGATATCATCCTGATTTTTGATCTCAAATCGATTGTAGCTCACATTTTTCGTGGGTGAAGGTGGAGGTGATTCTTCCATTTTCATCACCTGATCTTGATTTGATGTTGTTATCGATTTTTTCTCCTTCTGATGATATTGATGATGAAGATGGTGATGGTGATGATGCTGTTGCTGCAGTTGTTGATCAATTGAGCGTGAAGAGTCAACAAATGATTGATTGAAACTTTGTTTTCTTCGTAGCTCTTCCTCCTCCTCGTTATTGTCATAATCTTTCATTGGAATAGAAGTAATATATGGCGGATATGATTCTTTTTCTTGTTGCTGCTGCTGATATTCAGTCATCAACATCGACTGCTTGTGTTTCGTCGATGATACGCGTGCTCGTTTTCTTGATTTAGGAGAACCCATTTCGGGCGACGACAACAATGATTGCGCATGATGACTATGAGCAGCGTTAAGGAGAGGAGACCCATTTGGAAGATGAACCTGTTGTGGTTGTTGCTGATGATGGTGATTGCGGCTATATTGAAGATAATCATTATTAGTTGATTGTTGATGATAACTATTATTGGAATTCGATACTGGCACTGACGTTGATGGTGTCTCAAAATATTGTGCATGTGGTTGACGTCGTGAAGTTAGTGATTCAGGGTTTTCATGATGATGATGTGGTGATGGTTGATTAGCAGTAGCAATCGAGTAATTCTGCAGAGATGGTTGTGGTTTTTGTTGAGTTGTGCTTAATAAAGGATACGAATATGCCGATTTTTGATGTTTTTGTTGATGCGGTGTTGATGAATTTAATACTGACTGATAATACTGCTGCGGCTGATGATAATTGTAACTGTAATTGTTATTATTTAATGAATCATTCCTACTTGAAATAGCATGTGATAATGACTCACGGCGAGTCATCGTCATATCAGTCATTAAATTTGATAATGATGAATTATGATGATCAATTATGTCTCCACCCCTTGTATAATTCATTTGTTCTTGCATGTGATGATTGAATGATGACGATCTAGTTTCAGAGTTGCTACTATTACCATTCTTATTAACATTGGTATTGTGCGAATATGGATAATGATGGTTAGATGACGAAGAGGCGGTGGAAAAATTATCTACAGCAGCAGGCAAATCTGAAGAGGGGGGATATCTCAAAGTGGATGGTTGGGTAGGAAGAGAAAGAGACGCAGGTGGAATCTGATGATGATGATGATGAGTATTATTTTGCTGCTGTTGTTGTGAGATTGTGGGGTGATTCGTCACTGTTGTATCATAATTATTATAAAGAGATCGATAATTAAACTGGGAATTAGTAGTATTATTAGAAGAACGAATTGAAGATGACGTAGATGGCGATTCCGTAGTGGCAGAAAGCGGAACAAGAGGAGGTGCAGCAGGTGAAAATTGCGACGATAATGAAAGAGATCTTGTTGGAACCGTTGTAGTATTATTACTACTTTGATCAGACGTTATTAATTCTCTTATCGAAGGTAATGTAACAGATGTTGATGTTGGTGTTGGTGGCGGTAAATGCTGCTGTTGCTGCGAGAACTGGTGATGTAATTGATGATTTTCATTTTTTTGTGGCTGTGACTGTGGCTGCTGTATTTGCTGCGGCTGATGATACTCAAAAGATCTTGTACTACTATTGCTGCTGTTATAGTATTCATGCTGTGATACTGGGTATTGCTGCTGTTGTTGTTGTTGTTGTTGATGATTATGATTATGATGATACGTGTGCTGTTGTTGATGTTGATGGGGATATTGGTGATGATGATGATGCGTACTATTACTATGATATTGTTGATGTCGATTTTGATTTTGCTGTTGCTGTTGTTGTTCCATTTTCGACAATTTCTTTATTTTGTCATCAGTTATAGAAATGTAAGATTTTTCTACTGATCTATATCTAGTTTTTCTCTTTCAGTTTTTCTTTAACACGAGCCCTCTCTATTCTGCTTTTGATCCGTATTTATAGTTTTTATCCGTGATCTATGATTCGAGAGATTTATTATCAGCATAAATAATTGCAAATAATGATGATGATCGCCACGATGATTTCATGATTATTCACGATAACATGAATGATCATATCGACACAAAGTATAAAAAATCCCATTATTCGTGTATGTGTATTAATTAAGCTCTTCAAATCACAAATATCTGCCATGCGTCGTCGTCGCTTCTACGCACAAATATAACCACTTAACAAAATCGATGTTTTCACTAATGCTTTTTTCCCTCGATTAACATTCGTTTCCTTATTGGTCACCAAATGCAAACCATAAAACCCCACCCCTCTCCATCAAAACCCGAAAGAAACAAAGTACGTACCTCCAATTTCCTTGTTCTTAAAAATCCCTCGCTTATTTTTATTATATGTATTATGTGTTATTTTACAAAGAATTTTGTTAACCAACTTTAAAAGAATTCAGCGCTCATGTAGATACACACTAAAACACATAACACGCTCTCCGAAAATTAATATAGTTTGTGTAATTGTATTTTACCAAGCGAAAAACCACGAAATCAAAACTTAAAAAAATTCTCAATATCGCGAGATTGTGTGCGCGGAAAGGTTGTTTGGTCGTCTTATTTATAGAAAATTGAACGCAATATAAAAATGTAGGTTGCACGAATAATAATGTAAAATAAAAAAAATCTTACACAAATAACACAAATGTAAACATAAAAGAGAAATGCACAACAAATAAATATGGGATATACATTATGTATCATACAGTGATTCTTTTCTAAATAGAAAATCTATAAGTTTTTCAATTGTATTTTTTCCAATTGTATATATTTTAGCCGCATAAAAAAACTGAGAAGATCCCATATATGTTTAAGACGAGTTTTTAGATTTATATTTATATGCCTTATTGTCATCCCAGTAGTACCCTCTAAGTAAGATACACAAATAAGCATCGAGTAGTGCGACATATGCAAAAAGAGAATTTGGCGACACACATACATGCATTTGCTTTACATTTTTTTATGTGCATATACTCGCTGCCACAGATAAATGTTTTATGACGTGAATGTCGCCGAGCAATGTTTCGCTTCGTAAACCCATTAATGAAATGGGATTTTTTTAGGCCATCTGATGCTCCCAGATCTAGCTTATTATAAGACTGTGATAATGACTTTCTATTGTGTTGACAGTTTTTTACCTCGTAAAAAGATAACCTAAACCTTTTCTATCGAAATGTGATTATCAAACCTGATACAACGTTATACAAATACTTTGATAGAGGCCTTATTTGGTTTAGGTTTTTCAAAGAAAAAAAAGAGAAAGGCTAAGCTAACGAATTCGCACAATCAATGAAGGTCATCGTTATTTTTTTTTGTGATGATGAATTGTACTGCAAGAACAATAAAGTTGGCCAGATATCGCTTACAGAAGAATCCTTGCAGCTGCATCAACATCTTTTGAGTCCAATCCAACACTAATCGCAGCAAAAATAATAGCAGGCCAGCTCACAAATTTCTCTTTGACTTCGTCAAGTTTTCGATTGTGGTGGCCATGGAAGCACAATCAATAATAATCTTGGATGGTGGCTTTTGAGAATTTGAATTCATACAAAATCGTTTTTGTTAACACGTTAGCTTTTATAGTTTATATTAAAAAAAACCCCCCCCCCCCCCAAATCTGGAAGGCATTTTATTTATAGTTCCGGTTTCACATTAAAAACTCTCAATGACGAATAAATTTTAACATCTGTGCTTCACTTGAATAGCGGGTATCGTATCATTCAAAACTTTTAAAAATACCATTGCATTTCAAATAGCTCATAGTAATTCTATTCTTGGATTTGATATGAAATACAAGTATATAAATATTTACATGCATAAAAGTAATATGAAAGTTTTTCCTTTATGCTTTGCTGCAAAGTTCGGGACTTATGAATAAACAGAATTGGAACGATTACTTTGGCCCTTTTATTAAAAGAGCTTTTTCGTCAGTGATGGCTTCCAGTTATCAATATAGCTCTCTCGCTCGGTCCTAAAGATGGTAGTGAACCAAGCTAGAGATCCACGGGTAAAGCAGATCACAAAAGAACATTAGAAATAACGTAAATAGTGTAAATAGGCGAGACATCTCAAAAATTATTCAAATCGTAAAAAGTAAGACATCAATAAGCATATCGATTTCTTGTCAAATATTAATATTTTGAAATAAAATATATAATCTGTTCTGTTTTCAATAACACGCTATACCAAATACTAAAATGTTCCAAGTTTGATCCTTGGTATACCGTATTTTTATAATGCAAAATGCCCCGATACAGTTTACCCGTATGTTTCTTGAATCGGTATAAGGGGCTGTTTGAAAATAATTATTCCGGATATAAATTAAGGGATCATAGCGGGATGTGGGATATATTACACGGCATCCGTATTTATCATACAGTATGCTTGCGTATATTTGCATGTATCATCCTTCTTTAAACTTTCGATTTATTCCCATAATTATCAATACAGATGAATTAATATCTTGAATTATAATAACAATCCGAAATTAACAGAACTTCGGGATCCCCTAAAAACTTGGAATAATCATTATGGTGATCATTGTTGATATTAATCGTATCCTTTTCTTTGTCACCTTCCTTAAGACCTCCAATATCAATATTCCCATTACCAAACGCATTGCCATTACCATTACCAACGTAACCACTTTTACTAACTCCATTAATAACATTCCCATTACTAATAGTCTTGCGTAAAAAGATGTTTTTAAGAATGACGAAACATCGTTCTCGTAGCTTAACCATTTCGTCAATTTGATTAGGCGAGAAATTAGAAGAATCTCGTTTTCCGTATCTCATCAATTTCAGCAACACAACAACTTTAAATATCCGCCAACTCTTTATGAACTTTTTGAACATCGCATATCTTTCATCCAACAAATAATAATGATAAAATAAAATTGTCGGTATTATGATAGTAGTTGCCCAGAATCCACGTAAACTGAAACCGGTCCATGACCATAAGTTATAGAACAGCAAACTATAGAGTAGTGGGAGAAGCGCAAGTGCAATGAACACTTTATCTTGTGATCGAGATTCCTCGTATTTCTCTCGTAATGCAACTAATTTCCCGAGTGCGTAGACCGGGAGATGGATTATTAAGCCAGGTAAAAAGAAAGGTGCTTGTAGGAATAAACTCAAAAATTGTCCGGTTAAGCTGGTTAATGCTGATACAGGGGTGATTCGGTCTTTTGAATATTTACATATTTCAAAATCGGTGAGATTTAGCTGTTGCAATTGGTCATTATATGTTAAAAGATCTTTTTGAAGTCTTTTAATGGTATTATGTTGTGGTGATTCGGCATCCGACGGATTTTTGAAAAAATTTATAAAGCTGTTTTATAAGAGAAAAGGAAGATCTGATTTATTTATAGGATGTCCTATGTTTAAAAAAACACATGATTAATATTCATTTTACCTTTGAGAAACTTTTACATAATCTTGCAATTTATATGGTGGATCCTTGTCGCAGAATAATATTATTCGTGCCAGCTTAGCTGCATTTAATATATCCCTGTATTAATAAATTGAATAAATTGAATATACATACATTACGCTATTTTAACCATATCAGTAGCAATGTTGGGTAGATGTATACCAATCAGGCGCGTTAATAGTTAATGCGTAAAGCGCTTTTTCAATTTCCCCGGTTAATTTTTTAACAGTAGCTCTAGGATCTTTTTCAAATTCGTATAATAATGAGTCTACGGTTATTGGATCCCCATATCTTGGTTGATAAGATTCATTCATTACTTAAAAATTTAATAACCCAATTGTGCTTGATAATTTAAATTACCTCACAATTACGTCACTTCTAAACCGTGACTTATCCGTATAAGTAATACCGACCGGAATAATTACTGCCGTTTCTGCACCACCGCTTTCTTCTTTTAGTTTGCCTTCTTGAGATAGTTTATGAGCAAATTCCAATGCCGCCTGTTATTCATGGAAAAATTAATGATAATTGTATCACCAAATATTGATATATATTCATAAATTTTTTTAGCTCACCCAAGATGCACCATCTTTTATCGGCAATAAATGTGGCAGCGTCGCAGAGGTACCTAAAAAAATGATGTTAATAAATGGTTCAAATCTAAGAGGATACGATCAAACAAACCACTATCATAACGAAAAATCGCCAAACCTTCAGGAAAGACAGCAACAAGACCACCCTTTTCCAACGTCTCAAAAGTAGCTTTAAACAACAACTGATTATTACGCGTAGTTCGATCTACTGGTACCACACCAGCGGACGAGAAGAGCTTTCCAACCCATTTGTTTTGGAAAAAGTCGTTTTTCGCCCAAAAATGAACTTGACGATCGTGTGGAATTGTCGCCAGCACCATTGCAGGATCTATAACCATGTTGCTGTGGGTTGCGGCACTATTGATTATAATAACGCATCAATTGAATTAATTGAACTAATTGATTAATCTAATTAATGATTAATTGATAATGAACAAGCTGGAATCACTCAATACTTACATTATCACAGGGCGATTTTCTGGCACCTTCTCTTTACCCACCACTTTTACCTGCCTAAAGTACGTCCAACTGGCCCCTTTTGCACACCCTAACATGAATTTATAGACAGCACCTCCTCCTTCTTGAATCATAATATTTTTATTTATGATTATTTGTTTGAATTTATTTTTATGAAAGTTAATTATAATTTAAGATATTTAAGATAAATTAAAAAAGCGCCTAAAATGATGGCATACATATAATAATAGATTCCATTTCTAAAAATTGGGCGTATTGTAACAAAAGTGAACATGACGTCACTATAGGTAAAAATTCGCTGCGTTATTGTCATATCAAGAAAACATTATAAATTCATTAAATTCATTGATGATAAAACGGAGAGAGAACAATGGAAGGGGTGTTTGTTATATCAATAATATTCATTGATCAAATGACGCATCTATTTTGGGATCCGCAGGGCAGGTGGGAATTTTTAAAATTCAGGTCAATGCAAGTTTGAATGCAATTTGACATATTAAAAAAATCATTAAGAACTATTGCTAATAATGATATTCCAATTTTCTTTTCACTTATTTATAAATATTGTTTCTAATACAATTCTTTAAGTTGAACATTTTTTGCTAATGGGCAAAGACTCAAATTGATGCTTTTCATGATCGACTTTGTATCATAATTATCAAAATTTTGCGGGATACGTCAATAGCTGGAGAGGTTCACAGAAATGTCATGTATTTTTGCACACCAATCTTTTTTCAAAGGAGGTTGGTAAAATTTTTCCGCCACAATTTTCCGTGAGGATTACATTTTGTATTTTGCAATTGAGATTGGCAAAATGCAGATATTATCTCCTATTTCGTGAGACTTGGCTTGTTTACCCTAACATAACAACGTGACTACACCGGAGTAAATGGGAGTCAAAAGGTAGGTGCTGCTCATCAATCAATGCATATTTTTATTATTTCTTATTTA